GGCTTCGTCTGTATGGTCACTCCCCCAGAGAACATACCCGCTGCTGGGTCTGGGCCGCTGAGAAGTGCTGACCTACTGCCCCATTCCCAGAGCAGGGTGCTTGCCCTGAGACGGTATTCTGGTATGAGTGAATGTCCTAGGATTTAGTGTGATTTCTCCTCCACCCCTGGGAGCTGTGCTGTGAGGGATGTGTAGTGCAGCCTCCCTAGGGCCAACACGTCACTTTCTCCCTAACTGGATTTTCCCCTTCGTTATTTGTAGAGTCTGCATCTTTTAAATTTTTGCTTCTTATAGTTAAATGTGGGCTCCCAGCAAAGCCCCAGTACCTGACACAGCAGAAGGGGCCACAACACATTCCCACACTCAGTCTGGATCTCTGGGTGAGGTGTGAGAACCTTTGCTGGTTGGGTGGAGACTGGGGAGAGAGCTAATGGACACGAAAGGCTCAGCAGATACTTCCATCGTTTGTTTCCATGAAACACTTGTTAGCTGCCTGCTCTGAGCACGCAGTGAGGGCCAGGTGCTGGGGACGCCCTGTGGGAGCTGGACAGTGTGTTGGAAAGCTTGGGTCATCTCGATCACATTCTTTCCTCTGAAAGCAGAATCTCACGGGAATCTTGGGAAGAGGAAGGTGGGGTTTCCTCCAGGAGGCACTGCTGCTGCTGTGAGGAAGCCTCCCCCACATAGGAGATGACCGTGTACACCTGCAGAATAAAGTGCACCTTCAGCTGGGCTCTGGCCAACGTGTTTTGTTACCAGACTTTTTGCAGCTTCTGAGTGGGTACTGGGGTATAAGGTGAAGCAGTGAAGAATACAAAAAGGGGGAGGCCTCTGTGCCTCCTGGCTGTTCCTCTGATCCCGCTTCCTGCTAGCACACCGGGGAGGCAGGGGATGGTGGGTCATTATTTGAGCCTTGCCAGCTATGTAGGAGACCCAGATGGGATTCTTGGTTCTAGGCTTCAGCCTTACCCAACTCTGGCCATTGTGGACATTTGGGGAGTGAACTGGCAGGTGAAAGACCTCTGTCTCTCCCCCTTTCTGTCACCTTGCCTTTTTTGAATATCTGTATCTATAGATACAGATACGTAGATACATACATACACAGATTCCCAACAGACAGAATGGATCCAGAGTCACACGGCAGAGGCATGGCCTGCAGCCTCTGTGCCCAGGAAGTAGTAAAGGGATAAGAACCATGGCTCCTCCGTCATCAGGACAGTTAGCTTCACCTCTAGCCAAGGGACATCTCAGGAAGTCAGGCCTATCAAGATTTATTTATTTGAAAGGCAGAGGTACAGAGAGATGGACAGACAGCTTCCACCCACTGGTTCACTCCCCAAATGGCTACAATGACCAGAGCTAGGCCAGACTGAAGCTAGGAGCCAGGAGCTTCCTCTGAGTCTCCCACATGGGTGCAGGGGCCCATGTACTTGGGCCACCTTCTGCTGCTTTTCCAGGCGCATTAGCAGGGAGCTAGATGGGACATGGAGCAGCCAGGACTGGAACTGGCACCCGTATGGGATGCTGGTGTTGCAGGTAGCAGCTTAACTTGCTGTGCCACAGCACTGGCCTCGTGGTGTTTTTCAAGTTTGTTTTTGTTTTTGTCTTGTTTTGCTTTAATTCTTGAGAGAGCTTCCGTTTGCTGGTTCACTCACCAGATGTCCTTGACGACTAGGACGGGGCAGGCCAAAGCCAGGAATAGAGAACTCAGTCCAGGTCTTCCACGTGGCTGGTGAGGACCCAACTATTTGAGCCATCACCTGCTACCACCCAGGGTGCACATTAGCAGGAATCAGGAGTGGAGCCAGGGCTTGAATGTAGGCACTCTGATAGGAGATGTGGGTGGATCTTCCATCCACTGCTTCACTCCCTAAATAGCCACAACAGCCAAGGCTTGGCCAGGTTGAGCTAGGACCCTGCCACTCCATCTAGGCCTCCCACATCCCACATCGGTGGCAGGGGTCCAGGCACGTGAGGCATCTTCAATGCTTTCCCAGGCACGTTAGCAGAGAAGTATAGGGGAAGCAGCACTCACAAATGATGCCTTTATCACAGGCTGTGGTTTAACCTGCTGTGCCACAACACTGGGCAGTCTGTTTAATAGCTTTATTGAGATACCACTCACATCGCTTACAATTCACCTATTGAAAGTATGTGATCTGAAGGTTTTTGGCTCACATCACCACTGTCTATTCTCAGTGTTCTTATCATTCCCAAACAAAGCCTCATGCTCATTAGCAGCATCACTAGTCTACTTTCCGTTGCTGTACTTGCCTGTCCTGGACATTTCCCCTAAGTGGAATCTTAACGGTTTGCAGCCTCTTTGTCTGACTGCTTTGAGCCTAGTATTTCCGAGGTTCATCCTTACTGTTAACAGGTATCATGGTGCTGTCCCTTTGTGTGGCTGAGTGATACTGTTAGATGCCTAGACCAAGTTGGAAGTGCACATACTCCGTGTGTTGATGGACAGTCAGGTATTTCCACTTGGTGCTGTTAGTAACGCTGCTATGAACGCTGGCTCACTTGAAGTCTCGGCAGCAGCTTACACAAGGGATGTGGAGGAGTCAAGTTCATCAACAGGGAGAGTAAAACTATGGCTGCCAGGGGACTGTGTGGGGGCGACAGGGGTGTTGCTCAGGGTTTCGGTTCGGGGCGATGGCAGTGTTCTGGAGGTGGGTGTGGTGATGGTTGCAGAACACTGTGTGCTTAATGCCAGATGGGGCTGGCTCCATGGCGCAGTGGGTTGATCCTCCGTGTGCAGCACAGGCATCCTAAGTGGGCGCCGGCTCTAGTCTCAGTTGCTCCTCTTCCAGTCCAGCTCTCTGCTGTGGCCCAGGAGTGCAGTGGAGGATGGCCCAAGCGCTTGGGCCCTGCACCCCATGGGAGACCAGGAGGAAGCACCTGGCTCCTGGCTTCAGATTGGCGTAGCTCTGGCCACTGCGGCCATTTGTGGGGGTGAACCAACGGAAGGAAGACCTTTCTCTTGGTCTCTCTCTCTCACTGTAACTCTACCTGTCAAATAAATAAATTAAAGATCTTAAATGAATAAGATGGTAAATTCCATATTAGGTTCATTTTACCACAGTTGTTAAATTAACTATTGGCAGCTGATGTATTTCGGGGACTGACCCAGGACACCTGGCCCGCCGCACTGGGACCTGTGAGGGAAACCCCTGATGAGTAGGGCCTATGGCAACAGCCTTGGTCCCAGCACCCCTGCCTGGTACAGCCAGAGGCGGTCAGCTCAGACAGTGGAGTTGGGAGGGGCCTGTCCCTTGTCATGGCCAGGAGACAATGAGAGGGAAGCAGGTGGTCACAAAGGCCCGTTTTAGGTTGGATGACAGGGACAAAGCTTGTGTGTGGAATCCACAGCATATGAGGGCTGGAGGGGACTGTTTTCTAGACTCCCCCCGGGGCAGGGCCCACCCAGGACAAAGGGGAAGATGGGAAAGGGAGAAGGGCTGGGGTTTTCCCTGCTGGCTGCTGTGCTCACAGGTCTGAATGAATTGTTTTTCTTTTCTTTTGAAAGTCAGGAGAGCGATCTTCCATCCGCTAGTTCACTCCCCAAGTGGCCACACTACCAGGGCTGGGCCAGGCTGAAGCCAGGAGTCAGGAGCCTCTTTCAGGTCGCTCGTGTGAATGCAGAAGCCCGAGGACTTGGGCCATCTTCCGCTGCCCCCCCTTTTTTTTTGACAGAGAGAAAGGTCTTCCTTCCGTTGGTTCACCCCCAAAATGGCCACTATGGCCGGCGCGCTGCACAGATCCGAAGCCAGGAGCCAGGTGCTTATCCTGATCTCCCATGCGGGTGCAGGGCCCAAGGACTTGGGCCTTCCTCCACTGCACTCCCTGGCCACAGCAGAGAGCTGGCCTGGAAGAGGGGCAACCAGGACAGAATCCGGTGCCCCGACCGGGACTAGAACCCAGAGTACCAGCGCTGCAGGCAGAGGATTAGCCTAGTGAGCCGCGGCGCCGGCCCGCTGCCTTTTTTTTTTTTTTTTTTTTTTAATTTTATTTATTTCAGAGATAGAGTTGCAGACAATGAGAGGGAGAGACAGAGAAAGGTCTTCCCTCCACTGGTTCACCACCCCCAAATGCCCTCAACAGCCCAAGCTGCACCTGTCTGAAGCCAGGAGACAGGTGCTTCTTCCTGGTCTCCCATGTACGTGCAGGGGCCCAAGCACCCAGGCCATAGCAGAGAGCTGGATTGGAAGAGGAGAAGCCAGGACTACAACAGGCACCCATATGGGATGCTGGTGCCACAGGCAGAGGATTAACCTGTGCCACCTCCCCCCCCCCCTTTAATGATTTATTTATTTGAAAGGCAGAGTTACAGAGAGGCAGAGGCACAAAGAGGTCTTCCATCTGCTGGTTCACTCCCCACATGCCTGCAATGGCTGGAGCTGAGCCAGTCTGGAGCCAGGAGCTTCCTGTGGGTCTCCCATGTGGGTGCAGGGGCCCAAGGACTTGAACCGTCTTCTGCTGCTTTCCCAGGCCACAGCAAAGAGCTGGATTGGAAGTGGAACAGCTGGGACTTGAACCAGCGCCCATATGGGATGCCGGCCCTGTGGCCTTACTCCCTATGCCACAGCACCTGCCCCCTCCACTGCCTTTGCCAGTGCATTAGCATGGAGCTCGATCAAAAGTGGAGCAGCCGGCATAGGAACCGGTGCCCGTATGTGGGATGCCCGCACTGCAGACAGGTTTACCCACTGCACCACAGCTCCTGCCCCTGCTCCTGCATGATTAAGTGTAACGAGAACTGTTCCATTTCACACCAGTTTGGCTAAAGCTAACACACTTTTAAGTCACTTGTTTACAGTTACCAAATGATACCCTCAGCCCGAGCCACCTCCATGGCCCCTTTATCACAGGGGAGGGAGACTGCCCCCCATACCAACCACTGGATGCCTCTCACTGGGATTTCCGTGGAGCTGGGAGTCCCAGCAGCTGCTATCCCAACCGCATCTCCGAAACAAAGTGCTTTTCATTAGGCGGCCATCTGTAAGAACAATGGCTTTATTTAAAAATGTATTTTCTTTGTAACACAAGAAAGGACGAATGGTGCCTGCGTGCCTCCCTCCCGAGCTTGGGGTTGAGCTGGGTAGGTCATAGCTGGGCGAAGTCCCCTTTGTGCTGCTCCAGCCACTGGTCTAGCGTCTGGGCCTTGGGGTTCAGTCTCAGGGTCAGCTCTATGTCGCGGTCAGGTTTCAGGGCATAGAAACGGAACATGTTGGCCAGGTCCTGGGCTCCAGGGAACCCAAGCTTCTCGTAGTCCTCAGGAGTGGTCTGTAAGAAGATAGCCTGTGTCACTCATGGGGAAAACTGGAACAGGGAGCGGGGGGAGATGTTTGGGTCTTCAAAGCCCCCATGTCACCGACTAAGGTCCTCCCTGTGAGGTCATTTGAAAACTTTTCTGCTAACAACTTAAGTTCAGAAACCAGTGTTCATCTAGGCTACCTTGTGTTGTCGGTTTCTTGTTTTTGTTGTTTTTTTTTTAAATTTGTGGATGGCTTACTGAAAAGGCAGCTACACAGATCTTCCATCTGTGTCTTCCTGGGAGTCTTCCTACTTGGTCAAAATACCTAAGACAAATTTCACAGTGGCCGTGCTTTGCTTCCAGGAGTAGCAACACATAAATGTGAACAATGACAGTGAAATGAGATCCACCTCAGGGGGGAGGGACAGCCCTAAACCCCCCCTTCCCTGCAACCCAAAAGCCCTCTGGGGGTTCCCTGGGCAGGAGGAGCCCACCTTGGCATCCCGCACCACCTTGCCGGTGTGCTTCGTGAGCAGGCCCGCGAACTCCTCTGCCGTGTGCCTGCAGGTACTGAGCCCGATGTTCCGGCCCACGTACTCTTCTGGGTTTTTCAGCAGGCTGAGCACTACAGGACCCAGGTCACTCACAGCCATGCCATCCATGGGCACGTTCCCCATAGGCAGGCCTGCGGCGACACAGAGAACTGACATGAGCAGAGCCTCGGGGGTGGGGGCTGGTTCTCCCACCCGTGAGTCGATGGAACCTGCTTGCGTCAGCACTGGAGCATGCCTGCGACAGAGCCTGGGTCACTACGCTCCTAGGAACGGGAATAGGAACCCAGACCTGTCCATCCCACTCAACGGCTGAGATGAGGGGCGAAGGGAAGGGGATGTGACAGTTGCCACCAGGAGTGAGGCTGGTGCTCAGGGAGCCCACTGGTCCCACTTTTCTGAGAGGCGGAAGCCTGTAGGTGGACACTGCCAACACCAGGTGTTACCAGGAATCTGACTGACCCACTCCAGGACAGCTCCATGACAGGTGCGAGATAAACACCGCTGAATGAATGGAGACACGTGACCCTGGAGGCAACGCTTGGGTCTGCTGTCCTCTTCACCCAAGGAAAGGGCTAATACAGCTGCCGTTCAGGCCACCCCGGGGGCCTACGGGGATGGAGCCCAGTGCAGAGACCAGACAGGCCTCCCTGAAAACAGCTCTGCGGACTGAACGGCGGGGCCAGTGGACCACCACTAGCGCCCATCTGCTCGCCAGGCAGACGGCTGCCTTGGCCATGGCCACTCCCGTGCCCTCATGAGAGGAGGAGTCCAGCAGGCAGCAAGTGCCCCTTCCCCTGCCCCCAGCCTCCTTGGCGGTCTGCCGTCGTCCATGGACCCACTGCAGGATGTACTTCAGGTGAGGCCCCTCGCAAGCTGCATCCAGCGCTCAGCTATGGGTCTGAGTTTCCCTGCCTCCTTTCCTGTCCGTAGAAGTAACAGTTACTGTGCTCCTCTCTGGACAGCTTTCCAGTGGACAAGGCCCTGCCTCACCTCCCCATCGTCCCTGCAAGTATCAGGTATGCCCATTTCACAGAATAGGAAACTGAGGACAAGCCCACTTTCTGCTACACTTACAACTACAAGGTGACAGCTCTGCCTCATGGTGTGGGAGGAAAGGGCACTTACTCAACAAGTAGCTCTTTCCATCCGGGGCTTTCTGGGGCAGAAAGTAGGAGAGGAAGTTCTCAAAATAGCAGGGTAGCCGCACGCTGGTCATGGGAACGCCGATGTCCCGGAAATACTCCTCGACCTCCCCTTTGCCGTCAAAGTGGCCAGCTGCCAGCCTCCCTGCCGTCAGCTTTCTGATGTTCTCCAGGCCGCTGTACACCACGTAGTGCAGGCCCAGGCGCTTGGCCAGATCGGCCAGCAGCTTTCCCTGGTGGACAGGAAGAGATCGCAAGGCTAAGAGGCAGGGACTGGGGTCCCAGAGCTGCTGCAGTTCCTGAAGGTAAGAGCCACACCCACCCATGAGGGGGCGCTTGCATCCGCTGGTTCACTCCCCGCATGGCTCAGCCAGGCCTGAGCCAGGAGCTTCCTCCCGGTCTCCCGCGTGGGTGGCAGGGCCCAGAAGCTCCCTCGGAGCTGTGCCCCCCATGCCCTCACCTGCCTGACCTCCTGCTCCTGGCTGCAGTTCTCCCAGTAGTTGGTGACGATGAAGGCGGCACGAGCCCCGGCCAGGGCCCGCGCCATGCTCGCCTCGTCATTCTGGTCCCCCTGCACTACTTCCGCACCTCGCAGCCTCAGCTCCTTCGCGGCCTTCTGCTCAGGGTCCCGGGTCACCACTCGAACCCTGAACGTCCCATCTTCCAGGAGCGTGCGGGCCACTGAGCCCCCCTGGGCACCTGTGAAAACTCAGGGGTCACACCTGCCTGACAGTCCCACTGAGGGTGAACCCTGAGTGACGGGTTCCACCGTGGCAAGACACTTTCTCATGCATGATCTGAATCAAACCATTGTCCTTTGAAGATTTCTTTTTAAGCGATTTATTTATTTGAAAGGAAAAATGATAAAGATCTTCCTTATGTTGGTTCACTCCCATCTGGGGCTCCCACGTGGGTGGCAGAGATTCAAGTACTGGGGCCATGACCTGCTGCCTGCGAGACACATTAGCAAAAAGCCTCCCTGTCCGTCACTATGCTTTTCAAAAAAAAAGTTTTTTAAAGGGGGTGGTGGTGCTAGCATGGCAATAATAAGAAACAACGATGAAGTGTGGTGGAGGAAATGTTTGGTACAGCCCTTTTGAAAACCATTCTGGCATTTCTTCAAAATGCTAAACTACAGCTACCACATATCAAACAATCAAAGTAATTCCACTCCCAGACAGACTCAAGAAAACTGGGGTGGGCACATAGTGCAGTGTTTAAAACACCTTTTGGGATGCCAACATCTCATACTGAAGTGCCTGGGTTTGAGTCCTGGTTTCACTACTATTTTTTTTTTTTTTTTCCCAAAATGGATTTGAGAAGCAGAGTTAAAGACAGAGGTCTTCCATCCACTGGTTCACTCCCCAAATGGCCACAATGGCCACAGCTGGGCTGATCCAAAGCCAGGAGCCAGGAGCTTCTTCCAGGGTCTCCCACCTGGGTACAGGAGCCCAAGGACTCGGGCCATCTTTCACTGCTTTCTCAGGCTATTAGCAGGGAGCTGGATGGGAAGTGGAGCAGCTGGGACTAGAACTAGTGTCTATATGAGATGCCGGCGCCACAGGTGGAGGCTTAACCACAGACCCCGGCTCCACTTACTATTCTGCTAATGTGTAGGAAGGTCCGAGGTCCTGGCTTGGCCTGGCCCAATGGAAGCTGTTGCAGGCGTTTCATTAGTAAACCAGTGGATGGAAGATCTCTGCCTTTCAAGTAAATACAAACAAAAACTATGTCCACACAAAAACTTGCACGCGATTGTTCACAGCGCCATTATTCAGGAAAGCCAAGAACTGGAGGCCGGCGCCGCGGCTCACTAGGCTAATCCTCCACCTAGCAGCGCTGGCACACCGGGTTCTAGTCCCGGTTGGGGCGCCAGATTCTGTCCCGGTTGCCCGTCTTCCAGGCCAGCTCTCTGCTGTGGCCAGGGAGTGCAGTGGAGGATGGCCCAGGTGCTTGGGCCCTGCACCACATGGGAGACCAGGGAAAGCACCTGGCTCCTGGCTCCTGCCATCGGATCAGCGCGGTGCGCTGGCCGCAGCGCGACGGCCGCGGCGGCCATTGGAGGGTGAACCAACGGCAAAGGAAGACCTTTCTCTCTGTCTCTCTCTCTCACTGTCCACTCTGCCTGTCAAAAAATTAAAAAAAAAAAAAAAAAAAAAAGAACTGGACACGAGTGAAGTATTCCTTCGTCTCCTGATCCATGACTAGCATGGGGCGTTTCCATGCAATGGGATGTTCCCCAAGCGTTCGTTCAGACGAGATGCTGACCCACACCACAACATGGATGAACCCTGAAGGCACGCCAAATGAAGATGCCACACACAAAAGGCCACATACTGTGGATTAACGTGAAATGTCCGGAAGAGGCAAAGCCAGTTACCAAAGTGCACCAGTGCTTCCCCAGGGGGAAGAAAGGGGGTTTTCTTGGCAGGAGCTGGGGGCAGGTAATATTTTAAGTCAATTGTGGTGGTGGTTGCACAACTGTGAATATACAAGAACGTATTCGTGGGGCCAGCGCTGTGGCGCAGCGGGAAAAGCCACTACCTGCAATGCCAGCATCCCATACGGGCACCGGTTCGAGCCTCAGCTGCTCCACTTCTGATCCAGCTCCCTGCTAATGCGCCTGGGAAAGCAGCAGAGGATGGCCCAAGTGCTTGGGCCTCTGCACCCACGTGGGAGATCTGCATGAAGCTCCTGGCTTTGGACCAACACAGCTCCACCCACTGCGGCCATCTGGGGAGTGAACCAGTGGATGGAAGATCTGTCTCTCTCTCCAATTCTGCCTCTCAAATAAATAAATCTTAAAAAAAAGAAAAAAAGAAAGAAAAGAAAAGAAAGTATTCCTATAGGGTGGATATACCGGTGAATGTGAGTGGCTCACTCCGGATGAATCGTGCAGTGTGTGAATTACATCTCAATAAAGGTGTCATATAAACTATAAGTTAGGCAAACTAATATGCGACTTTTAAATACATGAATGACATAACGTCTGGCAGAATACTCCAGAAACGGTGCAGTGCTATAAGGGGTGGAAGCGGAATTGGAAAGGAGACCTAGATGGGGTATCAAGTCCAACACTCCCAAGGAGTTAAGTCACTTTTTTTGACTGATTTGTTTGAAGGGCAGAATGAAAGGCATCGTCCATCCGCTGGTTCTCTCAGACGGTGGCAGGAAGCCAGGAATTCATCCAGGTCGCCCACGTGCGTGCAGGGGCCCAGGGGCTTGGGCCACCCCACGCTGCTTTCGCAGGAGCATCGGCAGAGCCGGGTCGGAAGTGGAGCGGCTGTCAGAAGCGGTGGCTTCCCCTGCTGCACCGCGACACCAGCCCCCAGCTGATGTCCGAGGCGCCGAGGAGGAGGGGGCGCCCGGGTCTGCTGGCCTGGTCCTCCCGGGGGGCTTCTTCCACTTACCCGTTGCTCCAAAAACCACCACGAGTCTTCTGTCCGTCATGAGGGCTGGGGCTGCAGCACGACGGTCCGGAGAGGTCTAGGGGAGGAGAGGCGCGGGGTAGAGGACCTGGCCGGGGGTCCCAGCCCAGCGCGACTCGCTGCGCGCGCACCCAACAGGGGCCCACGGCGGGGGGCGGGGCGGGGCGGCCGCGCGACTTGGGCGGCCCACCCGAGCCTTTCGGGCCTGGACCTCGCCTCCCTGATCCTACATCCTGTTCTCCCTCCCCCACGGAGCGCCAGCCCGGACCCACCTCGGGCTCGAGCCCCACAGCCGCCTGGACCTCGCGGCGGCCTCGGTGGGAGACGCTGGGACCCTGGACCCAGCCCGCGGCAGAATCCACTGCGGAGAGGGGAGTACGACCCCACGCGGGCCGCCGGCTCCTGCCCGAAGGTCCAGCCCGACCTAGCAAGCCACCTCCCTCCTCGGCCGCACAGTGGCAAAGACCCCGGGCTGCGGGACGTGGGAGCCCCCGCGGCCCGCCCCTGACTCTGCGCGCCGCAGCCCTGCGCGCCCCCCTCCCGCGCTGGCTCGGATGGTTCGTCCCGGCTCCCGCCCCGCCCCGAGCGCCTGCAAATCGGCCGTGACGCAGAAAGGCCGAGGGGGCCGCGGGACGAGCTAGCCACGCCCCCTCTTCCCTGGGGTGTCGCCTGAGGCGGGTGGGGGCCACCTCAGCCCCTGTCTGTTGGCGTGCTTGTGTGCCTGCCTCACTTTTAAGATTTTATTCTATTTTTATTTGAAAGGCAGCGTTGCAGAGAGAAAGGTCTTTCATCCTCTCGTTACTGCCCAGATGGCCACAGTGGCCAGGGCTGGGCCAGGCCGAAGCCAGACGCCGCGAGCTCCATCCTGGTCTCCCACGCAGGTGCAGGGGCCCAAGCCCTTGAGCCATCATCCGCTGCTTTCCCAGGCCACAGCAGGGAGCTGGATCAGCAGCGGAGCAGCCGGCTGCAGCCCCGTCTCCTGACTCACTTTGCATAAAATATTTGAAAGGCAGTGTCACTGCTAGGACGAGTTGGCATTCTTCTTAACAGAAAAATGAGATTTCTTTTTGTTCAACTGAAACTCAAAAATGATCCTGTCATTCCGCCTCTGAAAAGCGATTGCTGGGGGGGGGAGGGGCTTTTCTTGTTTCACTGTCCACCCCACGTGTGCAGTGACCCTCCTCAGCCCCCTGCCTCCCTTGGGGAGCTTTTCCCGGGTGTGCGGGGTTTTCTAGGGTGCAGGGCAGCTTTTCCAAGGCCCGCGGGTTTAGCACCAAACGGGGTGCCTGGAAGGGAGGAGGTGGGAGGTTTTTGCTGATTGCCTGTCTGAGGGTCACCGACACACCACAGTTACAGAGAATCCAGTCAGCTCTTGCTGTCTTCCTGACCTTGAAATCTAGGGGTAGGTACAACCTGCAAGGTATGTGTGTATCCTATTGAGGTGAAATATCTATCTTCAATTATTATAAAGTGTCTGTTTGGTATTTTCAAGGATACTTACAAATGAAGTATCATTTGTGTATTACTCTGCGTGAGTCTCTCCTCCACGGCCCTGTGGGTGAGTTATGTTATGCCTGGGCTGCAGCTGTGCGGATTAACTGGGTACTTTGATCCTGCAATTTAAGAGGGAGAAGGAGACAGACTGAGGGAGCTACCATCCACTGGTTCACTTCCCAAATGCCTGGGAGAAGCAAGAAGACCAGATCTCCCATGAGGATAGCAGGGACCCGAGTACCTGAGCCATTACCCGCTGCTTCCTAGTGTTGGCCTCAAGGAGCCTGAGCCGGGCTCGAACCCAGGCTCTCAGACATGGGAAACGGGTCCCAACATTCGGCTTAACTGTTAGGCCAGATGCCTGCCCAGCTCCCACTATGATAGGGCTGACTCCTGCTCCTCTCATTCTATTACAGGAACAGGTGGTTAGCCTTAGCAGTAAGACACCTGCGTCTGACATCCACGTACGTGGTCCAGCTCCCACTCCAGCTGCCTGCCAACGCAGACACTCGGACACAGTGCTGTCAGCTCAGCTTCTGGCTCCAGGGGTCCTCTGCAGGTCATAGTCCTCCTGTTTGCCCTTTGCTCAGCTGGTCAGTTTGAATCTAGTTGAAACCGGTGTAGGCCAGCTTAGGAGTGAAGCCTATTTAGTAACCTGACTTTTCTGACTTTTCCAGCTGGAATCTATTAAAAAAAAAAAAAAAACCACGGTGGAGTGGACTTTCGAGTTTTGGAAATTGATACTTGATTAAGAGGACAACAACCCGATTTCAATGCTGCATAACCATCAACTCCTCCCGGAAGCCATTGTGGGGCCTTTGAACTGAGCTAACCAGTCCCGTTCACGCCCGTCTCTGTCCCACTGGCAAAGTCGTTTCTACCATCCTAGACCCAGGGCTTCCTGAGAGCGACCCCTTATCTCGTTTGACTCTGTCTCGCTCTTGGCACAGTGTCCAGCACATAGTTGTGATATGGGGGAATCAGGCAGGAAGTTAGATAGGAACATGTGAGCCGGAATTTCTGCCAGCGCTGCGTCTTTTTTTTTTTTTCCTTAAGATTTATTTATTTATTTGGAAGGCAGAGTTACAGAGAGAGAGAGAGAGAGAGAGAGATATGTTCCACCTGCCATTCACTCATCAAATGGCTAAAACCAGGAGCCAGGAGCTTCTTCTGGGTCTCCCTTGTGGGTGTGGGGGCTTAAGGACCTGGTCCGCCCTCCGCTGCTTTGCCAGGTGCGTTAGCGGGGAGCTTGATCAGAATTGGAGTAGCTGAAATAGCCAGGATTCATATAGGACGCTCGTATATGAGCCAGTGCTCATTTAGGATGCCTGTGCTGCAGGCCATGTTTTTAACCCACCGAGCTACAGCACCAACCCCCAGATCCTGCATTTTAATGCTATCTCCTTACCTATTCATTTAATATGCCCACTTTCCCATGATGCACCTGTGTCATCTGGGAACAGAAAGGAGGAGATGCCATGATGACCATTTGGAAGTTTAAACTGGATGTGAAGGTACTATGGAAAATCCCAGAAAGTCTCATGTACACTAAACTCCACCCAGGCTCCGCCCCATCTCATAGAAGAGACTGATAATATGGGAGGGCCTGCTTTTGTTCTTGACCTTGGCTGGAGATTGTTGGCTCTCTTTCCGCCTTGTCTTCCTAGGCAACTCGGACCCACTAACAACAGGAATCCGTGTGTAGGGTAGCCCACACTCAAGCGTGAATGTATGTTTGCTCTCTCTTTTTTGAATGAACCTGTACAGTGTTACACCTCTGCTTTGAGTTCTTATTTCTGTTGGAATAAGAACGAGGAATGAAGATGAAAATACATGAGCCCATAACAGTTGGAACTCAAAAAATAGCTATGGTATGGAACAAGGCTGCACGTGATTCTCATGAAAGATGAGATTTTTCTTCCGTTGTATGGGGCTGAACCACAAAATCCAGTCTCTGCTTTAAGGAAGTAAATTCAAGTGTGTCCAAACTGCGTAACTTACAGGGCCCAGTGATAAAGTAAAGATGTGGTGCCCTTGTGATATGGGCCTGGTACCTTACCTTTTAGTCAAAGGTCTTGTCTCCCACCAAGATGAGAATTCTAAGCTGGGGACACATGCAAAGTGCAAAAATGAGAACAGGGTTTATATAAAAGGTGAGAGAGTGAATATTTATGTGTGAATGTGGGCCCTCCCACATGGAGAAATACCCATCATGAAAGGGCCAGAGGGTTACGGAGAGGAGAGAGAGAGCCTGGATGGTACCTACAACCATGATCGGGGGCAAAAAGAGACCTGCGACCCCCGCCTCTCAGCCTCTTCTGTGATGCCTTAATGCAGTAAACAAGCGGGATGGACTTTCAGCCTGGGTGAAGCCGTCTGGGATTTTTATGGCAGCTCCACCTGGAGTTTACTATCCGTGTGGTTTCCTGGTCCCAGGTCAGACACAGGTGTGTTAGGTAGCTAGGTGGACGTTAGCCTATGTGTGTTCCAGGGGCTGAAGAAAAGGGGAATTTCTTTTTTATTTATTTATTTTTTTGACAGGCAGAGTGGACAGTGAGAGAGAGAGACAGAGAGAAAGGTCTTCCTTTGCCGTTGGTTCACCCTCCAATGGCCGCTGCGGCTGGTGTGCTGTGGCCAGCGAACTGCGCTGATCCGAAGCCAGGAGCCAGGTGCTTCTCCTGGTCTCCCATGGGGTGCAGGGCCCAAGGACTTGGACCATCCTTCACTGTACTCCCGGGCCACAGCAGAGAGCTGGCCTGGAAGAGGGGCAACCGGGACAGAATCTGGCCCCGAAAAGGGGAATTTCTAAAGACAATTGGAATTTTTGTGTGACGGAACCAGGAAACAAGCCTTGAAAGCAGACCAGGAATTACATATCTGAAATATTGGTCTGTTGGATAACCTTGTTTTCTCCTTTAAAGATTTGTTTATTAAAAAGCAAAGAAAGGTTTATTGATTTGAAATTTGTTTATTTACAGATTTGTTTAGTTCTTTATTTGAGTTACAGGGCCGGGGGAGAGTCAGAGAGAGGGAAAGAGACTGAGGTCCATCTTCCGTTTGCTGATTCTCTCCCCAAATGGCCACAATGGCTGGAACTGGCCAGGCCAAAGCTAGGAGCCTGGAACACCATCCAGGTCTCCCACATGATGCCAGGGCCCAAACATTCGGGCCATCCTCCACTGCTTTCCCAGGTGCATTAGCAGGGAGCTGGATTGGAAGTGGAGCAACTGGGACTAGAACCGGCACTCATATGGGAAGCTGGCACCACAGGCAGCAGCTTAACCCACTGTGTCAATAACCTGGTTAGGTGGGTCCCAGCCCTCTCCAGCTTCGGGGACTCTTTCCTGACTGTGACCCGGGAGCTACTAGGTCCAATAACACTGTACTGATAAGGTCCTGGGTGGAATTTCAGGAATTCCATATCCAGAAAGCCCTCTACCCAGCAGTTTCACAGTCTGAATATGGACTGCAGTGCCCTCCAGCCTCTACAGGATGAATGCCCGCCTTGTCAGGTGTATTTCTCTTCACTGAACTTCGCTACTTTGCTTACCCCTGCCCTCTGTATTTTTTGTCATGCAGACAAGAACCTCTGAGCAGTCACCTCCAGTAGTAGGCAGGTCCTAAGGACGTGGGCATTTTAGACAGGTAAAAAGACAATATTACATGGCAAGGGGCTGGCGCCGTGGCGCACTAGGTTAATCCTCTGCCTGCAGTGCTGGCATCCCATATGGGTGCCGGTTCTAATCCCAGCTGCTCCACTTCCAATCCAGCTCTCTGCTGTGGCTTGGGAAAGCAGTGGAGGATGGCCCAAGTGCTTGTGCCCCTGCACCTGCATGGGCTCCTGGCTCCTGGCTTTGGATTGGCACAGCTCTGGACGTTGTGGCCATTTGGGGAGTGAACCTTTCTCTCTGTCTCTCTGTCTCTCACTGTCTGTAACTCTACTTGTCAAATAAATAAATAAATAAAAATCTAAAAAAATATATTACATGGCAGGGCTGGCAGGAATTCCAGCTCACTATATCTATTCACACTGAATC